TTTTGCAATAGATTTTTCAAGATTTAAAAAAAAAAAAAATCCTTATAATTTTCAATTGCCCCCCTACAATTAAAATTTTGTGAAATTTGCTCCCATAACTCTACTCTCCTGGCTCCGCTCCTGAATTGGTATGTATAGTCAAATAATGAGTCTTCAACGAAAGAATTGCGATTGTAGTTGATAGATTTTTTGGACTTTAATCAATTCAAGGGACTTTAAGCTATTGTGCAAACCTATTGGAGGTTGGATTTTGCTCAAATGCATAGTTACCTTGAAACCTATCTTTTGGCATTATTTCACGGGTGGATATCCCAGTTTTCAGATGTGCATTTAACGTTAGTATATTCAAGATAATTACGTACGTTCACCTATATGTTTATTTTAAACCTTTAGCCGTTCTTCATGGCTTGAATGCTTTTTCTTTATTTCTGATCGATCCTTGATAAGAAGATTTTACTGGCCCACCTATTTAGAATCGAACGAGTTTGCTAAACTATCTTATTTTACCCTCCAGATTCCATTATTGGGAAAAAAATTCAATATACTACAAAGTTTCATTTCCTTGATTATGTCAACTGTGTTCTTCCTCTACTTGATATTTATATTTCTTCAAAGGCAACAAATATACTATACAAATCTCGACGACGAATTGATTCGTGTCCTATTGATGTTCATCTTGAAGGAATTGAACCTCATTTACGAATTTAAAGTTTTTAAATTTAAATTTAAGTTACACGTATAAATGTTTGTTTTTCATTTAAAAATATAATATTCGATGTGTACGTATTTTCTGTAACATAGCACTAAGTGATCGGTGAACTTGGAATTGGATTATAAAAAAATTAGTGGGATAGCTGTAAACCAAAACTGATTTTAATGAGAAGAAGGCCAGTAGAGAGTGGTGGGACAAATTCCTTGAAAAAGTTGGATTATATTATGAAAATATGATTACTTGTGATTCGAAAGTCAAACAAATTCCGCCGCTGTTGACTCCCTGGCCTAATTTGTTATCAATTAATCTAGTTGTACGTGTTGACAAGGTCTTGGTCCTTGATTTTTCATTGATTTCAAAAACAGTTCTTGAAATGATTGATCTAAATGTTGTCAACACATAATTTGTAAACCAAGTTTGTCAACTTACTTTATACGCATAGCACGATTTGTTTGTTATGGCATAACACAATAATTATGTAATGGGTGAATGATTTTTTTATGCATGATTTGTGATTTTTGTTTGAGGGAGCTTGCTTTTAGTGGAAGGCATTCATTCTCTCTGATCTTTTCATATAAAAAAAAATTAATATTATATAATGAGTAATACTATTAAGAGTGATGCTACATGTACATCAGAGGCTACATAAGGGTGTCCATAATGGACACCCTTATGTAGCACTTGAT